AGGTTTGAACGCGCCTCAGCCTGGTTGCTCGTCCGTGTCACAGCTGTCTCTCCCTCGAGAGCCCCGCACAGACCAACACACTAAAGGTTAATATTGTTCATCATTGTGATTTTATTTTAATATATTTTTTTTTTATTTATGAAATAAAGTGTTGAGACTTGTTTAAAGGCTGGGGCTCGACTGTGTTCTCCTCGCAGGACGACGTGGGGAGTGTTGCACCTTTCGTTTCGGGTGGTGTGTACGCCCTCCCCCCTCCTGCCTCCCTCTCTGTCCGGCTGGTCAGATTTTTCAGTTCGCTCTTTCCAGTATTTGATGCCCTTCTCGGGAATAAGGGGCTGAGAACCCGATGGAATTCCTCAGTTCGGAGCGTTTCCCCCCAGGTGCCCCATGGAGGAGCCCTGATCTTATCAGACAATCAGTTTTGGCTCTGTATCGTTTCGCACGCAGCGGTAAGAGTGGGGGTCTGCTTGCGGACAGGCGGGGAAAGAGGACTGATAGACCTGGGCTGGGCCTGAGCTGCAGTCCTGCCACTGGGACCTGGGCCTGGAGCATAGAGGGTGTGTCTGGCCATTCCTGATTTAACTGATCACTAACCTGAACAAAATGTCCCAAGTTGCTGGTTTAAGAGGGGAGGTTAAATCCTGCTGGACTCCTGCACTCCAGAGCAAGTTATTCTGTTGCGAATAACGAGAAGGAATAACAGACCAGACGTTTGTCCCAGCCCCAGAGTAAACGGGGACAGTACACGCCTTGTTTATTACTCGGGGATGAAATGTTAGCAGAGCTGGAAGTGCACTGGGGAAGTTGCCAGGTGGCAGCACTAACTGTGCCGTTTGTCTCCGTGTGAGAATTGGAGCCTGTAGAGCTACCAGGGAGCCATCACTGAGACCAGGTCAGGAGCTCTGCCTGCTGGCGTTACTGTTCCTGCCTGGAAACCAAGAGGCGGGGAAGGGCTTTCTGGAAAAGTGCTCTTATAAAAGAGCAGGTCCGCGGTTTCCAGGCCACGAGGGGAGAGGTTTTCCTGCGGCCCCCTCCCTCTCTCCTCACTGCTCTGTGCACAGCCTGTCGCAGACCTGTGCAGCAGGGAACACTGCTCCTGTCCTGGAAACGGCAGCTGAGATTCGGCCTGAATTCAGATTGTATGATTGTGTGGCGTTTGTGTGGTGTTCTTACTAGTTTGGTGAGAGCTGCCTATGAATGAGTCCCTTGCAGGTGTCTTTATTGGCTGTCTGTGCCTGGGACAGGTGTCCTGTCCTTTTGCTGCACTGTGTGAAAGTCACTCCTGGAAGAGTGTTTGACTGATGTTGTTTTAAAGTTTGTTTGTTTTTTTCCGGGAAGGGTGCAGGAACTGTGACCTGTGTAATATTGTCCATCATGTGTGAGAGTTGCTACCTCACTGCTCTGTGTGCCGGGTTCGATTCTGAACTGGGGATCCTGCCGTGTGGAGCTTGCATGCTCTCCCTGGGGGGGTGGACAACCAGGGATTTCTCCCGGT